TGTAGGCAATATAATTAGAAAATTTTAACATGGTTTTAAACTTGAAAATTGGTTGCGGGGGGTTGTTGCATAATTTGCATGCCCTGCAATTTATAGGCTGAAGTGACATATTTATGGATTTTCCCCATATTTATTAATCAAATTTTGGCTGAAATATGACCGTTTTCATTCATTCGGACTGAAAATATTGAACACTACCATTTTTAGCCACTAGATGGCAGTCAAGTAGTAAGGCATGCCGTTGTATCATGTAATAGGTAAAAGTGGCTATTAATGACACAATCGGCTTCCCATAGTCTGACACCGTCGTCTGCCTGGAGCAACCGAATCAGCTTAATTTCACTGCACCGCCCCGACGAAATGTAGCTGATTTGACCGTCAAAGTGCATTTATTAAGGAAAAGTTCAACTGAGACACACCTTTGCTATAAAATGGAGCAAACAAATAATTGTTTTAGGTAGTTATCTTGCTAAGTTTCGAATAAATGGACAGCGAGTCGCCCTTTGATTGTTCATATGTTTCTGCGTATCGGCGTTTGAAACTGCAGCTGATTTGACCATCAAAGTGCATTTATTAAGCAAAAGTTAGACTGAGACACACCTTTACTATAATATCGAGCAAACAAATAATTGTTTTTAAGTGTTAATCTTGTTAAATTCTTGTTAAAGTCCTTCCGTGCACGCTCCCGCGGCCGCCAATCCATTTTTGCCACAACACCAGCCTACATTTCTGGGTTGTCAGCGGTGACGCGTAACAAACGTGATGCGTCAGCGGTGACGCATAATAGATGCGTCATATACAGCGAAGCGACATATTTATGGATTTTTACACTTTATTAGACATATTTGGACTGATGCGACTTATAGGGCGGTGCAACGTGTACGGCGGAAAATACGGTACATGTTCATGTAGCTCCGGATTGAGTGACAAGTGTTACTAGTGCAGTTAATGGGAGCTGTTTGTCTTGACCAACTGTTTTGGTTGAGCTGTTACTTTATTATTAGATGTCAGTGGAGCATGTAAATGCTATAACTTTTGTTGTAACAGTTATGTTTCTTTTATAAACGCCTGTAAATCTACAAATTAGGGGTCGTCAAACTAAATTATCTGAACATAAAACTACAGTAAAGACGGTCTGAGGTGCAAAGTGAACTTGCCACGTTTGACAGCTAACAAATGGGCCTGTTTTTGGGGCAATAAATTGCACAAAGTCTGGGACTTGCATTAACACAGCTCATCTCTCTCTGACTGTCAGGTGATTTACCGGACCCTCCCGAAGTGGCAGTCCCTGGATCCGTTTGGGTTGGAGGGCCAGCAGCAGCTTAGGCTCACCAACATCCGAATCAGGTTACTGAAGCATCAGCCGTGCCCCTGCCAGGCCAAAGACCTCACCACCACACGGGAAGCTCTTCCTACTCGACACTTTGCCATCTATGACCTGATAGTGAAGGGAAGCTGCTTCTGTAACGGCCATGCCGAGCAATGTGTTCCTGCACCAAAATACCAGCCCACCAGAGACCGGACCAACCACGTGGTAAGACGAGAGCTGTCAGTGTTTGCATTTAGTTGTGGTTTGAGCTCTGCGTTACAGTAGCACACCAACTTTTGGTAGTTTTATTCTGGTAAATTCAGATTTTCAACTTAAAAGCTCCTGTTATCACATTTCCAGTTTTCGAACGAGATGCTGATCGCAACACTTCTCCTTTTCTATCTTGTTTTGACAATCTAACACTAATCCACTACTCGTATCTCTTTATTTATTATAATTTTTGCAGTAATCACACTCTGAGGACACGTTTTTCATGTGTTTCTTTAAAATCAAGATTTGAAAACTTGATAGTTCAAGACCAAATAGCTTGTTCTTTTTTGTGCCGGCTGGTTTGTTTATAAAAGACTCAAGGAGGGGGTCCCTTTCTCCTTTTTCTGCTTCCTTTGGTCAGATAACATCTGCTTTCCCGTTTACAACAAAGTCAGGAGATGGAGATATCTCCCTATAGTTTAATGGTGGCGCTGACAGTTGGTATGTGTTTGTTGTAGTAGGTGTGACGAGACAATGTTGCTGGAGATCACTGTTTTGTGGCGGAGCTTGTACTGACAAATATCTTGAACAAAACTGCTGTAAACTTGATTTGTTTTTCTTGAAACCAGCGACAAAAAAAGAGCTTCCTTTACATACCGGCTATATGAGAGAAGGCATTTCTAATGATAAACATTATCGCTATATTGCCCGTTTAGCTCAAGCTATTAAGACAACTTAAATACATAAACGGTTGTGACACAGCTTTTTAGTTTTAAGGAATGTGACTACTATGCTTTTCACGACAGAATAACAAATACACCGGCTGACAGTACTTTATGATAACAGCTTGTAAAACTCATTTGTACAAGAAAACTGCTGATACAGTGCAAAAGAAATGTGATTCTCAAGTAACATCTTGTAAGATGTGATCTGCCGAAAAAACATTAAAAACATTAAATATCAGAAAATAACAGCTGTTGGAGATAGGGATGCACGATATTATCGGCATGGTATCGGTATCGGCAGATATTAGCGATAAAGTTAAATATCGGACATCGGCCATTCCATCAAAATAACTCACCAATATAAAAGGCACTGTTTTTGTATGTGACAAGGATGCCTGCAGCATCAGCACAACGTTATGACGTCACGCACGCCATTGAGTTTAGATTTGTGAAAATTTACAAGTTTGCACCGTTCGAGTGTTGTCATTGTGTTAGAGAGAGTAAATGTCATGAATAAATTTGACATTAAACATAATCCAAGTTGAAGTGTTACAGTTTTTTCAGCCCCTTTTTGACATCTGCATTTGGCATCAGGCCAAATTGACAAAGACCATGCAGAATAATGTAGTATTTAAATTCCACAGAGTGAAAGCTTTGTCATCTCTGTAAGTAGGTCTAGGGGGAAAATATCGGTATTGGTATCGGTTCTCGGCCAAAAATCCATTATCATGCCTCCCTAGTTGGCGAGATAGCATTACCCTGTTCTGACCTGATTCCTTCTAAAATATTCATGATTCTTTGTCATTGACACTAAATAACAAAATTTGATTATGTGTAAATATATTAAACTAGGAAGTTAAACATAACAAGGCTAAATGTTGTTAGCTGATAATGTATTTCTCTGCATTTTATGCATTCAAACAGTTAACATAGAAAAAGACAAACATCTTTGTGTATTCCGTTTGTAGAGCTGCCATGTTGTATTTTTGGAACCGGAGTCTGTGCAGGAGCGCTGTGTGCCTATAGACAATTACTGCAGTACAACTAAACGCATTCGAAAAATAATATTTGAACACGCAGCAGTGAGGTGGGAGCTGTGAATCAACAGTAGTGGTGTATTTTTTTAAATCAAGCAAATGTCCCATTTGTTTGCATGGACTTAAAGCGGATACTGCAGCCAGCCTACAGGGGGCGCTAGTTCTGTTTTGGCTTCAACTTCCACATCACATCCTTATGTCTATTACTTATTACAAGTCAAAAACACTGTAGCTACAAGTGTAGATCATAAATGTCAACTTCCGAATACAAACAGAACACACAATTGACATTAAAAAAATAACTTTGATACTGTAGCATTTAGCATTTAGCTCACAGGAGAGGGGTAAATATTTTATTAGGTTTTATTAGAACCTGTGCATTGTTAAACTATAGTTTTCTTTTATGATAATCCACACAAAACTGTTCATTTAATGATTGATGATAAACATTTGCTTTAAGGTACTTTTTAAAAAGAAAAAGAAAAATGATTAAGAAAACTACAAAATCATGGTTGTTGTTGTTGTTATGACAACTTATGTCCCAGTGCTGTGTTTTTATACTTAACTCTTCAAGCAGTCGGTGAATAATTTATCAAATGAAGTTCTGAAAACATCAAAGCCCACCCGACCCAGATATTACTCCTAAAACAAGATGCTGAAAATGTTTTCATCTTTTAAACTGGTAGGAAACGGAACATTTTTGGCATATTTGTACATAATGAATAATTAAGTTATCTATGTTGATGCCAGACTGAAGCTGCTGATATCGGATTTATTGGGCCCAATCCTTTACATCTTAAAATCTGACTCTTGTCATGCCAAGAAATTCCAAGTAGCGCCTTGGTTTTTGTTAGGTATCCTTCATTTGAGGGTCCAGTTCTTAATCCACAACACTCTTAAAACCCCTATTCTGCTTTATCAGAGTGGCTATTATCATAATGGTATTAATTAATTGTTCAGAAATATTACAGAGACCATCCTGTAATGGAGAAATTTGAACATCAAGGCCTTCTTAACCTTCCTCGCTGCGTTACGTCAGGTTGTTGTAGTGTGTCCAATGCGGGACCATTCAGTAAACACACACGAGGTATAAAAGTGCTTTTCCCCGCCTATCAGCAGTTTGCTTTGTGTCTCCATGTCGACTCGGAGCTGCGGCTTCTGGCAAAACCCAAACAAGCAGAGCAGCTCAAGACATGAGATGAGTGCAGAGATTACAATTCAGACAAGTGGGTGTAATTTTGTGTGTGTCTATGCAGTTTTGGGTTTTCATAAATATGTTACAGCTCTCAATACAGTTTTTTCATTTTATTCTATGTACTTTTTAAAAAAAATTGGTGTAGCGAGAGTACGTTTTTTGGCATGCAATGTTTTGTCTGGTGTGTGTCCACTCGGGCAGTAATCAGCAGAGAAAGTCGCCCCGATGGCCATTACTGCTCAGACACTAAAGCGAAAGGGCTCGTTTGTTTGTTGTCCCTCCACAGGGGTTTTGTGGTTCGGGGTGATTACACTGTCTGCTGGTTGGCCACAAAGCCAACACACACTCTGTGACATTTAAGGTCTGAGACGGTTGCATTAGCAGCAATTAGTCCACTAATTGAGAGTGGTTGAGTTTCTTTCTCTTTATATACATCTGCTCTGTCATACCGAATTTACTCGAGATGATTGTCACTCAATACGTTTCCTCTTTTTATGTTCATGCATGCGACACATGACTTTAATCGACATTTGTGGATATAATACACAGAGGCTAGCATAAACACAACTTTTCTTCATTTGGCATTTAAAGTACCTCTTAAGGGTGATGTCAGAACTCAAAAGTACACTTTTTTGTTGTTGACATTCAGATATTAAAAGGCTTTTGTGCTCAGCTGAGGTACAATTTTAGAAATAATTTTTGCACGTTTTTTTTGTTGTTGTTGTTGTCGGAACTGGTGCACAGCTCTCAGCAGTGACGGCTGTGTGATTTGACACTGAGCGACTTTAAATGTCAAAAAGGATTGTTCATTTCACACTATGCAAGCTCAATTTGGTACAATTCGGATAGTACCATATTTTTCGGACTATAAGGTGCATTAAGCGAAACAAAAACATTTTGACAGATTTTTGAGCGCCGTGTACCACATTGGTTCTTGGTCAGTAAACACAATCACAATTAATACACAAGGCACACCAGATTATAAGGCTCACTGTTGATTTTTGAGAAAATTTAAGTATTTTAAGTGTGCCGTATAGTCCGAAAAATACGGTAACCTGTGCTGGATTGGACTTTGTAAAATGCTCCTGGACTTCTTGCTGCAGCAGAAATGCATACATCATTACAACAGAAAAACAGTGCTTGTAAAATGTATTCATGCCTTTATTTAGATTTAATCAGAGTTTAATCTATTTTTATTTCCTATTAAATGTTTTATGCTTTTATTTCGGTCATAAATAAATAAAATATTCTGTCATAAATCAATCATGATCAACATAAATGGGTCTTCTCTACCCCCACCCCCCATTTTAAAGTTATTTTTTTTTAAATACAGAGTAATACCAAATATTAAGTCACAACTCTTTGCATAAATTAGCATACCCTGTGACTTATACAGCGACTTATTTATGTTTTTTCCTCCATATTTATAGCCCAAAATTTGAATGAGATGATGATTTCATGGAAAATATTGGACACTACCATTTTCAGCCACTAGAAGGTGCTTGAGCAATATGGTAAGCCAAGTGTCTTATTAATAGGTAAAAGTGGCTATTAATGAGACACTTGGCTTGCCATACTTGACCACCTTTGTCTCGCTCTGGAACTCCTGGAGCAAACATCAAATCAGCTGCATTTCGCCGCGCAGCTGATTTGACCATTAAAGTGCATTTATTAAGGAAAAGTTCAACCTTTACTATAATTTCGAGCAAACAAACAATTGTTTTTAAGTGTTAATCTTGTTAAATTATTGTTAAAGTCCTTCTGTGCACGCTCCCCGGGCCGCCATTTGGCAGCCAATTGCTTTTTGGCACACCGGCCAACGCTTCCTGGTTGTCAGTGGTGACGCATAACAAACGTGACGCGTCAGCTGTGACACATAATAGATGTGACTTATACGGCAAAGCAACATATTTGTGTTTTTTCCACTTTATTAGACATATTTGGGCTAATGTGACTTATACGTCGGTGCGATGTGTACGGCGGCAAGTACGGTAAATAAAAATATGTAATGTAAAATAGATGCCTGCAAAAATATTGACCCCTTTTAAAGGGACTGTC